CTTTGGTGCATCATCCATGTCATTCGGGGGGGGGGGGGGGGGGGGGGGGTTGAAGTTTTTTGTTTGTGTTTTGTTTTTTCAAAAAAGAAATCGAGAAGTGACATAAATCCAATAGTTAACTGCAATACAATAACCCATTGAAGTAATGGGAACTTGGTTAGCCAGTACTCACATAAGTTGCATTGATTAACTGGGTTTACACTTACTGGGGCAAACTAAAAAATTTGGCTTTCTATGTTGCATAAAATATAGTAGTTTAACATAAAAATAATGCATTTACATTAAGCACCTGTGTTCTTTGTGCCACAAATGTTCCGTTTGCACATCTTTTTTTGCTATCAAAATGTTTTTTAAACCTGATTATTTTAAGAAAAGCTAAACAAATAACAGAAGGCATAAATACTTTTGTGGTCTTACTCTATGTGCAGAAAATGCATATTATTCTATGTAGATACATTCCACTGGTGTAAAATATCTTTTCTGGTGGTGTAGTGGGTTAAACTCTTGTGTTGGCATGACTGCTTACTGGCGGGTCAGCGGTTCAAATCCAGGGAGAGTGGGTTGAGCTCCCTCTGTCAGCTCCAGCTCCCCAGGTGGGGACATGAGAGAAGCCTCCCACAAGGATGGCAAAACATCAAAATATCCAGGTGTCCCCTCAGCAATGTCCTTGCAGATAGCCAATTCTCTCACACCAGAAGCGACTTGCAGTTTTTCAAGTCACTCCTGACATGAACATTTCCTTGACATAGATCATTCATTGTAATGTCACTGGATTAGCTTGTATCTGCAATGTATGGAATCAGTCTGAAGAGAAAATAAATGAAATTATCCTCTTTGCAACTTAGTTTATGAATCTTAGTTATTATCTTAGCAGGTTTTATCAACAAGACAACATTTGACAATAAATAAATATACTGTCTGCATGAACAGACTGAAGAAAAATGGGACAGAAGTGGTAAACCAGGTTGGCTGGTTTCTGCTTGTTGTTAAATGTAGCATTACCAAAAATTTCCTCTTTTCTCGCTTCTTATTTGTTATCACCAACACCAAATTTCTCTGGATATTCAAATTGTTATATGCACAAATTCTATATAGGGTTATGTTTCTCTCATGAAGTAAACTGCATGAGAGAAACATGCTAGGAAATCCCCAGTTATATGGACACACTATACAAGACTGATTTGCCACAAAATTCCATAATGAATATAAAAAATTTCCACCACAAGTTACTTATGTTGAACATTATTTCCTTGTGTAGAAATATTCTGCGGGAGAATGAATTCTTCTTACCAGAGACCATTGAGATTCCCTCCACTGAGTCCCTACAATTAAGTCTCATTTGTTTTTGAAAGATATCTAGCAAGAAGCAGAACACAAAATGGGGTATTTTCCATGGTAGCCAGTGGCTTCCACACCAGGATTGTGGTTAATCTACATTGGATACTATTCCAGGCCTTAAAGGTTTTAGATGAGGTTACTGAATTTATTGTATGATTTAATTGATAGCTGTATGTCATAATTGTTTTATGTTAGGTTTATATGTATGTGAGGCATTGAATTTTGCTGGAAACTACTTTGAGTCTCTCTCTCTCTCCCCCCCCCCCCCCCCCCCCGGTGGTAAGAAAAGTGGTATACAAATGAAGTAAATAAATAAATTGTAGCTACAAAGTTCATCAGTCTGGAAAGCTGGAATAAACCTTGAACATCAGTAGTTTACAAAGTTTTTTGGACATTGACCCCTTCAAAAGACATTGTCTTTCCCTGTGGAACCCTAACTCTCCTTGATTTGTTTAATCAAAATATATTTATAATCATTTCACATTAATTCAAATATGTCTCCCAATTTCCTATACAATGTCTAGTTTGAGTACATTTTGCTCTGATATCTTATGAATAATATCTCAATATACCAAATGTCTTTTATCTCAAAAACTGCACAAAAATAAAAGGAATAAAAATGTGGAATTATGAACTACACATAAATCACTCATGCTGTTAAATGTTGAAATGTGTAGCCAGTAACTACATATCTGGTAGCAATAGCTGTAGCAAAAAACAGCTATTATGGAAACAGTAAGTCAAATATTGGCCTGCTTTAAACTTTATTTGTCTTGGAGAACCCCTACAGTGCTTTTGTAGAACCCTAGGGTTTTGTGAAACACAGTTTGGGAACCGATGTTCTACATCACTAACATGGAATTCTCCAGTTGTCCCTTTATCTCTGAAATTGTGACGTGATTTACAACTGACATGTGGTTTGGTGCTTAGACATGCAAAAGCCTATGTAACTCAATGGAACCTAATTCAAACTTGCTCTGTTTTTCACTCTCTCAATGCCCTTGAGCTGCTTGACTACCTACAGCAAAATTCCTAACATGACCCACATTATTATCTTCAATAAAAATGTGCTAGCACCCCCTCTTGTCACAGGGATAGAGGATTCATTTATTAATGCAGTTTAACACCACTTTAACTACTATGGCTCAATGCTATGGAATTATGGGAGCTGTAGTTTGGTGGCACACCAACACTCTTTGACTGAGATGGCTAAACTACAACTGTCATGGTTTCTTGTTTCACAAGTTAGGAAAACATCTGAAATAATGATAGATTCATGATAATAAGTGAGATGATTCTTATATAACAGGGCTACTAAGGTAAAATTAAAGTTGAATGCACACTTTGAATGTATAATTTTAGCACACAGCCATCAAAGAGAACTTCAGAAATGAAAATTATCACATTTAAAATGAGACACAAATTACTCTGATATGAAAAATAATAACTCATATACTTCCAAAAGGGATATAAATTGTGGTTATATCTTCACATTTCCCCAAAATAAACAAAACTAAGTATTTTATTTAATGAAATGAATGATTTTGACAAAGACTATTGCCTTAGCTTCACATTTACTGCACCATTTAAAGACTTTCTTTCAAAAGACCAAAAAAAAAAACAGAGAGACAAAAGCAAGACTCTTGGCACCACATTTAGTCTCAGTGTGATGCTTCTGTGATTTTCTTTAAAAAGAGACAACAGTGCTACATCTTGTCTCATGTGATGGATGGAAAATTGTATCTGCTGCAGGAAAAATGTACAGCTGTATTATTTTCACAGCTCTTTTTTCAGAGTTGGGGAATTGTTCTTGTCGTTCTTCTTGTTTAATTGAGAGACATGACATTTCAGTGCTGGAGAAGGTAAATGCACAGCCAACAATAAATTAGATAACAAAAGAGAAGGTTGATTAATTAAAGTGTGTGCCATGGGATAGGCACAAGGATCAAAGAGCTACACTTAAACAGGTTACCCCGTCTAGAATTTTATTCATGCAGTAACTGTCCAGATCCATATGGGAAACTGAGAGCAGAACATAAAAGCAATCTGATATTCCCCACCAACTGGTATTCAGAGGCATATTGTCTTTGATACTGGAGTTAATATATAGCCATAATAGTAGGTAGTTATATGCTTTATGCTCCATTTATCTGTGCAATCACCCATTAAAGCCACTCAAACAGACAGCCATGACTATAGCATGTAGTAGCAAATGCACTGGTTTGACTGTGCAGAGTAAAGAAGCACTCACTTTTCTGTGTCCTACATATCAGACCTTTCAGCTTTAGAAAAGGGCCCCAGCTTCTAGTTTTGTAAAATTAGGAGAAATAAACTCCATATGAATTATTTTATATAATAATGCTGTCATTTTTTCAAGCAAAATATTCTCTAACAGGAGGTGGGGTAGAACTACTTTTTTCCAGTTCTACAATGACATTTTTGAGGTTCAGTAACTAGTTATGTGAACAATATTTCAAGTGTCCTTCCAACTTAGATTGCTATAATTCAGGTATGGGCATCAGGATTTTTGTCCTTCCCTAGACCTTAGTGCCCCGGTGGCACAGCGGGTTAAAATGGCTGAGCTGCTGAACTTGCTGTCCAAAAGGTTGGTGGTTCAAATCTGAGGAGCGGGATGAGCTCCCCTGCTGTTAGCCCCAGCTTCTGCCAACCCAGGAGTTTGAAAACATGCAAATGTGAATAGATAAATAGGTACCACAGAGTTGGCACAACTAGACTTAATGTCAAGGAGAAATCTTTACCTTTGCATAGACCTTGGTGAACAGGATGGTATAGTGCTGGACAAGGGCTCTAGGAAACCAGAGACTGCTTTCTAGCTAAGCCATGGAAACTCACTGTGTGACCTTGGATGTCACATATATATAAACAGATCATAATAAAACAATAAAACACAATAAACAATTTCACATTAAAGAATACAAAAGAGTTATAAGTCATGTCCATATATACTGTTTCTTGTATATTTATATACTACCAAAAAGGCAGCCATGATAGTCACATAATATTCTTGAGAGCACTCAAAATATGTATTGCCAAGGATAAAAAGTGAATTTTCATAGACACCAAATATAATAACTTGAGTGTTACGTAATGCAGACCGCAGCAGTAGAAATAAAAGTGACTGTGAGGAAAAAAAATGTCTGGCTCATCTCCAGGGAATAAATAAGAGCTGCATAGGTACTGTGTAGAAAACACTAAACAATACATTACATCTGAAAAGGGCCTAAGACTGGCAATACTTCCAACTATACAATTAAAATCAAGTGTTCATTGAATAAATAGTTATTCTCTGGCTCTACAAGGTGACCCTATTATAATACACCTTCCTGTCAGATTTACAAAGAGAAAACAGTTAAATGAAAAACAAATTATTGAGAGATTTTAACTAACTCAGGGGCAGTAATTGTACAGTCATAAAAGCACATGTGATCAGAAGTAAGATTGCTTTCAGAATAAAAGACATCAGTTTTGAATAACAGAAAATGCTTATAAAGAGAAATCGCAAAATAAAATAGAGTTATTTTACTACCTCTGAAGTTACTATACAATTATTCGCTTTCTGGAAGTTAGCTTAGGAGCACTAATGTACATTAGTAAACAACGTAATTCGAGAAATGTATACATATGCAATAGCAAACACTTACCATTCCTGTCAATGGCAAATGGAACGTTTGTTGTGACAATTTCATAATTGCATATTTGACTGTACTGAGGAGAACAATCCTCATCCATGGCTTCTACTTGTAATACACTGTCATAGATTTTTCCTTCTGTTACAGTAGCTTTGTAAGATCTTTCTTTAAAAGCAGGTGCAAACTCATTGACATCCTTTACTTGGATATGAACCACAGCCCTGAAACCAAAGAAAAACCAATTTGATTATCATAAAATTAGCAAAATATTAATGGAACGTATTATCAAATTGTGTTGGTCAAAATCATAATGAAATAAAGTTAACAATCTAGCTAAAGCCCCTTCTACATTGTCATATAAAATTTTGATTATCTGCTTTAAAATGGATTATATGGCAGTGTAGACTCATACAATCCAGTTCAAAGCAGATATTGTGGATTATCTAATTTGATAATCTGTATTATATTACAGTGTAGAAGGGGCCTAAGAAGATGAAAGAGGGATGATAAATGCAAAGTTTAGGATATGAAACAATTTTTATTTATTTCATGCATTTCTACCCCACCCTTCTCTCCCCAAAGGGGGACTCAGGGAGGCCTGAATGCAAGAAAATTGTTAGAGAATTAAAGTAGTGGGTTGTTGTAGGTTTTTATGGGCTATATGGCCATGTTCTAGAGCAGGGGTCCCCAAACGTTTTGAACAAAGGGCCGGGTCACAGTCCCGCAAACTGTTGGGGGGCCGGATTATAATTTGAAAAAAAAACATGAATGAATTCCTATGCACTCTGCACATATATTATTTGCAGTGCAACACCCCCCCCCCAAAAAATCAAAAAACAAAGACCCACACTTCTATATAAATAAAAATGTAATGTTTGTTTGTGGGATTAACAGAACTCAAAAACCACTGGACGAATTGACACCAATTTTAGACACAAGACACCTAACAACCCAATGTATGTCCTTCACTCAAAAATTGATTTTGTCATTTGGGAGTTGTAGTTGCTGGGATTTATAGTTCACCTACAATCAAAGAGCATTCTGAACCACATCAACGATGGAATTGAACCAAACTTGGCACACAGTTCTCCCATGACCAACAGAAAATACTGGAAGGGTTTGGTGGGCAGTGTCCTTTGGTTTTTGAGTTGTAGTTCACCTACATCCAGAGACCAGAGCGGCCGGAGCAGAGGGTTCCAGCGATGGTCGGAGCGGCGCCGGGTGGGCGTGGCCAGAGAACGCCAGCGTTCCCTGGCCACGCCCACCGGCACCGCTGGCCACCCGGCGCCGCTCCGGCCTTCGCAGGAACCCTCTGCTCCGGCCGCTCTGGTCTCCAAGGAGGCAGGTAAACTACAAAAGGCTTTTGAGTTGTAGTTTACCTGCCTCCTTGGCGACCAGAGCAGCCGGAGCAGAGGGTTCCCGCGATGGGCGGAGTGGCGCCAGGTGGGCGTGGCCAGAGAATGCCAGCGTTCCCTGGCCATGCCCACCCGGCGCTGCTGGCCACGGCCAGACGACGCCTCTGGCCACGCCCACCCGGCGCCGCTCCAGCCTCCGCAGGAACCCTCTGCTCCGGCTTTGGAGTTGTAGTTTACCTGCCTCCTTGGAGACCAGAGCGGCCAGAGCAAAGGGTTCCCGCGATGGGCGAAGCGGCGCCGGGTGGGCGTGGCCAGGCCAGGCCAGGCCGCACGGGCCGGAGAAATGCCCTCGGCGGGCCGCATATTGCCCGCGGGCCGTAGTTTGGGGACCCCTGTTCTACAGGCATTCTCTCCTAGAATGCCTCTAGAACATGGCCAAATAGCCCGAAAAACCTACAACAACCCAGTGATTCTGGCCATGAAAGCCTTCGACAATAAATTAAAGTAGTGGTTTTCATTGGAGGTTGGGTTGAAAGAATTTCTTTTAAAATATACAACACCATCTTATATTCAATCAGGCCCCTTCTACACTGTCATATAATCCAGATTATCAAAGCAGATAATCCACATTATCTGCTTTGAACTGGATTATATAAGTCTACATTGTCATAGAATTCAGTTCAAAGCAGTTAATTGGATTTTATATGGCAGTGTAGAACAAAAGGAAGGAAAATAAAAGGAAAGGTCCAGAGCTCAGAAAAAGGATGCTTCTTTTACTCATCTACGTAACTGTTAAATAGCTCCGAGACATTCCTCTGATCAAACTAGCAAACTTCGAAATCTAGTTTTCATTAAGAAGCAGAAAAAAGATGAAAAGAGTATATTTGAACCACAAGTTTGCAGCCTATTGCTGCCTTTCTTTTATAAAGACTTGACTAAAATAAATTGTTTATTTCAACAAATGCCCATTTTACAGTCTGATCACATAACTGGAAGTTTACACTTGAAGAGCCAGAAGGAATTCCTAGGGCTATATGCTCTAACCCTTTGCCAGTGCAGAGATTTACTAAGAGGCTGTTATCTAGCCTGCCTGTTAAGATCATAATTTTGCACCTTCATCTTTGTAGCAACAGAAATAAAAGCCATTCTATCATTTACATGACACACCTCCAGATACTAAATACATATGTATATCGTATACATCAAGCTAACTATACACAGCTCTTTCAATCTCTCCTACTGGGACTTTATGCTTTTGTTACCTTGGCTACACTCCTCTGGGGATGTTCCAGCTTATTTTTGTCCTTCTTAGTCTATGGTCCCCACATGTGGACTCAGAGTTCCAGATGGGATCTCACCAAAGCAGAACTGGAATCCGAACATAATGGAGCCAAAACATTTCCCCTGAAACCAACCTGGTATTTTCCCTAACACTCTTTTACTTTTCTTCTGGTGCTGGCATTGACAATAGGTGTGCCCTAAGGAGACTAGCATCTAGGCTTCCCTTATGTACAAGGTTGCTTTGGAATCAGGCTCCCAAAAATGTGGGTTAATTATGCTTATTATGCTTTCTCTATTCAGTTTTTTAGCATGCTAGCTATGTCTTACTCTTGTTTCTATAAATTCCCATCTGTACTTTGGCTATTCTTAATATTCACAGACTACAGATCTTTCTCATAACTCCTTAGGGTTTTCTTTTCTAAGAAGAATTTTAGATATATCTGTTTTGTATCACCCTCAAATAGATATATAATTTTATCCCGAACACAGCACAAAATAGCCGGTGATCTAATCTGTAGAAAGTTGGATACAAAAATATATGAACGCATCTTGAAGTATGTGTTTTCTTTTCTGTTATATCATAGCAATTTTACCTTGCTACGTTTATGAAGCTAGGTTACAGTGACCAAAGTAATTACGCCTGATGACATCTCCAAAATAAAAATCATTGACTAAACTCTTCCATTCATACAAATTATCTTTTGTAAATAAGGCATCTATGAGTTTAAGCTAACTTAAAATATTCTTGATATCAAGACCCACATGAGATCCTGGAGAATACCTTTGTCATATAGTCAGATATTTCTACAATGCCTCACTTGATTTTCCCAGGACACTAAGGAAGGAGAACCCCCTTCAGAGGAACCCTCACAGAGATTTTGGTTGTTGTATGAAGAGATAGTGAACACATATCACTAAAGTGACTAAAAAGTTCAATATGCCAGCACACCTTTCAGTTGTGGGTGTGCATGCCACTAATAGGAAACAGGCCAACCTCATGTGATCTTGGAGTAGGACTTAACAACAAACATATTTATCTAACTAACTACTTGTGCACATGAAAATGCACCACAAATAGCCGCAGGGCAATCACTCCATTTTTTAAAGATCTTAAAGGCAACAGCCTTATGAATTTTTCAAAGATCCTAAAATATTATTATACTGTTCTTTTGAATGCTATTTTTTTCAATTTTAGAAAAGCAGAGAGAGGGAAAAAAGGCACAAAGCATTACAGAACACAATTCCACATTCTGTAATATCATTAATCAATTTCAACAATCTGATAATCCTCTTATTCTGTCACTGTTGGTTCTCTGGGATCAATGTGGCAGGTCTTTAAGTCCTGAAATCTTATCCCTAAATAAATAATCAAACCCATCTGCAAGGAAATGGGTCAAAGTGGATTAATTTACAATGTAAGGTGAGTTAAAGGACTGATACAGGTTTGATGATGCAGGGATACACAACTTTTGACCCTTCAAATGCTATTGAACTGAAATTTCTAATATTTTGTTATCACTGGCTAGAGCTAATGAATTCAACAATATTTACATAGGCAAAAGTCAGCAAATCCTAATTTAAATGAAGTGAAGATAGCTTACAAAACAAACAACTTAAGAAAGTTAAACATTCTTTAACAAACTTTGAAACAATTATTTCAGATACTAATGAGTTTGTTTTCTAAATTCTGTTGGATTGTATGTAAGCAAAGATAGTATAGTGAACCATGGGACCTAAATGAATGGCACTTACATTAGAAATATTATTTAATAAGATATATAGAAAACAGAAAATAATAACTGGAGAAAACCTTTGTCCTGAGGAAAATTAAGCAAGGTTTCTGTTAAAGGGCCCTTCCAGACACCACTAAAGATTTAGTCTTTACACCCTGCCACAACCCAAGGCTTTTCCTGGGGTGGGGGTAGCTATATGCCCTCCTGAGTCAACCAGCCACCCCAACCTCCCATTCCCCCCCCCACCCCAAAACTTATGTGTGGAGCCTGCTGGCAGTGCAGGACCCTCCAGAGAGAGCTCCTGGTGTGCGAAAATAATGCATCAGGAGGTGCGAGTTTCTTTTCCCCACCCCAACACACCATTTTTGTGTGTCAGAAGTTCTCTCTAGAGGGGGCTGCACTGCTAGCAGGCCCCTCATGTAGTTTTTTTGGGCAAAAATGGGGGGCTGGGAGGGGTGAGTGCCATCATGCTCCTTCGAGCTCTTTGAGTCTGTTGAACTGGGATTACCATGGGGATTGATCCCCCAAGACTGAAAAAACAATCTCAAGAGTCAATCCCTACAGGGCCCAAACCTGGAAAGATTTGGACCTTACCTTAAGGTCCGGATCTTTCCAGGTGTTGTATTAATCTGGAGCAAACGGAAAAATCCCAATTTTCTCCAGATTCAGGTTTACCTGAGTCATCATTTGGACACCCCAGGTAAAACCAAAACAGGTCCTACACTAGAAAAATAAACATTATAGAAGAAAATATTTCTCATAGTTTACTTTCCTTATTATTATTATTATTATTATTATTATTATTGTTTTGTTGTTGTTGTTGTTATTATTGTATTTAGGAAAATATTCAGTTAACAATGAAATAATTATTGATATATACCAACCATTTCAGTCAGGAATGATTATGTAAAAAGAATTGTCATTTATTATTGCTGCTGCTATGTGTCTTCCAGTTATTTCTGACTGATGGTGACTCTAAGGGAGACTTATCATGGGATTTTCTTTGTTTGCCTTTATCTGAGGTAGAGAGAGTATGATTTGCCCAAGGTCACTCAATGTGTTTCCATGGCTGAGCAGGGATTTCAATCCTGGTCTTCAATGCAATAGTAAAACACTTAACTCACTACATCACACTAGCTTTTTCATTGTCAGCAAAGTGTTTTTGAAAGTGTAATAAAGTTAAAGTATTGAAGGAGGGAAGAAAGGAAGACCTGAAGTAGCTAAGTTCTTGTTTATGAATGGGTTAAATATAGGCAGATGGAATGGGTTAAATATAGGCAAAGAAGCAATGCAAGGAGCAATGCAAAAAAAGGGTTCCCAGAGAGAGGGTGGTCTCTAGAGGATTTCATTCATTTTGAATTATCCACAGTTTTTTCTCCCTATGACTAAAATAAAGTATAGAATTGAACCAAGCAATATTCCCCACCTCATTCTGTATATTACATTGAGTCTGAAATAAATATCTCAATTTGTATCCATTATAACTGTAGCTCTTGCTCAATACAATAAGAACTGCTTCCCTGAAAATAACTGAGATATAAAACCATGTAGAATGAAGCAAAGAAATTCAATCTGATTTGATTACATGAAGACCAATTAAAATCAATCTTTTCTTTTAAAAAAAAACCCCACCTTGTCTAATAGTGTGGTAGAAAAATGTAAACAGATATTAGAACAGGGAAAAGTTTGATCCAGAATTTTATTCAGGTCTTTAAACCACCAGCTGAATGTCCCACTAAGAGAGGTCAAGTTAGTAGGATAAATGAGCAAATGTTACAGATTGAACTATAAACTCCTGTAATAAAGCATTTTGTCTTCATTTTCCTTCCACTACTAAACATTTAAGATGAGATTCTCAGCCTGAATTGTAAATACACACCACAACCCATGTATCACTTTCTCAGCTGTCACTCACTTGTGAGATTTTTTCCAGTTTGTTCCACTAGGTCCTGCGCCACAGTCATATGCCTGGATGATGAATGTGTACTCCTTCTGCAGTTCACAGTCAATTGGACTTCGTGCTCGAAGACGACCTTCTCCAGATGTCTTGTTTAGCACCACAGCTTCAAAGGGCATTTCCTGTCCATGGATTTTAAAAGCACAAATTTCACCTGTAAGGTACAAAACAAAACAAAATTACATGGTCATCAGTCAGGCCACTTCATTTGTTTTTCTTTGAATGACGATGAACATTATAACTTTCACAGTTGTGTAAACCAAAATGTGGGTCGTTTTCTGAATACAACTTTAAAAAGCACAGACCAACTAATAACAAAGACAACAAATAAGCCAAAACAGAGAAATGTTTGATTTTTAGTTTTATTTCTTTAATATTCCAAGAAAAAACAGTATTATGTAGAATTGTACTGGAGACATTAAGATGTTTGCAATCTTATACATTTTACTTTTCCAAAATGGTTTGCTCTTTGCAAATAAGGAAAAAAAACTGATGGTTAGAAGCTCCTAAGTCTTTATAAGCTGTAGGGCAGTAGTTCTCAACTTGTGGGTCCCTGGGTGTTTTGGCCTACAACTTCCAGAAATCCCAGTCAGTTTAGTAGCTGTTTTGGATTTCTGGGAGTTGAAGGCCAAAACATCTGGGGACCCACAGGTTGAAAACGACTGCTGTAGGGAATAAACATCTAGCAGTTAATATGTTGGATGTCTATATATAACATTTCTATACAGGCTCAGCATCTCTTACCTGGAAACTCAAAATCTTTTTTTCATTCAATACACTTTTTCGACATTATGTATAAACCCACTCCCCACAATATTTAAAAACACCTAAGTAGTCTAATTTTTCTTTGTGGAGTGGTCAGTCCAGCTTTCCAACATTTTTAGTAGTTCATTTCTCCATCTTTTCAGATCTGCAATATTCTTCTTCAGATAAATTGACTAGCATTCCTTGTATGGTCACAACAAAGATTTGTAGACCATCATCATGATAATTACATATTTATTTTTCATTCATTTTCTAATGGTTTCAACATGGATTTTGCATCAAAGCAGGAGGTGAACACTTTCACAGTACTGTCTATTTCAAACCTAAAGTAATTTTCATATGTTCAACATGGTTAGCCCAGAATATGTTTCTATATATAACAAGGGAATCCTATACCAGGGGATAAAGGACTAAGACTGGATCTACACTGCCTTATATTCCAGGCTCTGATCCCAGATTATCTGCTTATCCCATATTATCTGACAGTGTAGACTCATATGATCCACTTCAAAGCAGATAATCTGGGATCAGAGCGTGGAATATAAGGCAGTGTAGATCCAGTCTAAGATTTAAATCTTAGGAAAAGGAAGGACCCAGCAAACATAAAACCTCTTCTTTGGGACTATAAATTACTAACCTTTACCAATATAGGACCTAAATATTTTCCAGATGAAACAATACATCTGGCCCTGGATTTTCCAAAGGTGTCTATATCTCTCTACTCCCAAAGCATGACAGTGGCAAGAACAGGGTTGTGACCATCCAGCTGAACTGAACCCAGTGATCCTCACCCTTTCCTCAGGTTACACAGGTAACTTTCTTGACATCAGCAAAAATGCCCATCAATAGCAAGAGCTCTCTGGAGTTCAGTGTCTGCTGCTGTAGTGACATACATCATAAAATTTAGTGTCATCCCCTTTTCCCCATACTGCAAAGCACAGGGAAACAAGATGGTGGCACAGGCACATGTGAATAGCTGGGCAAGTTCAAATTAGAATCAGGCCAGCTATTCACAATAACCTTGCTGGATGGGGCTGTTCCAGAATTTCATGGAATCTCTCTAACTTCTCCTAATATTTGGGGGGGGGGGGAAAATCAGTTTAACCATCTTTTCTCTGCGTTAGAGCCCAGATGCCCCTAAATATTGTCTGGATATCCAGGTGCAACTTCTGGATAAATTTGGGATAAGTGTAGATATGCCATAAATCACTGTCAGTTTATATCCCATCAGAATATGTGTGTGTCCTTGTGTTTTGTTGTCCTAATATGAATTTTCCTATACTTATGTGGAATAGGATATATAATTTTGCTAAGAATGAAAAAAATATTTTTTTTTCTTCCTGCTACAAGAAAGTCTACAAAATGGTATAGTTCAGTCTGGGAGTTATACTATGCAAAATTCACACACTTTTAACACAGAAAATAGTACTTCCTGTACTGTGAAAGAAAAAAAGCCAACAAATACACCCATGTGTGAATTTTGCACAGAGTAAGTCTCCAACTATAAACATTCTCATGAATTGAGGATTCTCCTCTTAAAATTTATTTTTGAATCTTTGTAATGCAAAATAATTTATTATTTATTTTTTTATTTACTGTATTTGTATACCGCCTTTCTCAGCCAATTGGCAACTCAAAGGTGGTTTCCAACAAATTAGTACACATAAAAACATAATAGATAAAAAAAATAAACATGTTTGTAACCATTTCTCAAATATTATAAAATATTATTTCTAGCCAAACAATGGAATACCATTTGCCATTTCAGTGCCCATTTTTCAGCATGAAGATATCTTTTAAGAATTTTGTACAATCTACTTTTGTTCTAATCACTCCATATATTTTGTGTCTATCAGCAAACCTAGCCACTCTACTATTTACTCCTAATTCTAGGTAACTTACTAATAAGCTAAAAAGCAGCAGTTCTCATATAGAGCTTTAAGGATCCTACAAATTGCCTTTTTCTATTGTAAGAACTGAGCATTTCTTCTTACCATTTGTGTCCTATCTTGCTTTTTAATTTTTTTTTTAAAAAAAGATTTCCAATATATACAAGGACTTTGTCCATCCCGTGGCTTCTCACCCCAATATATGTGTTCTAGAAAGTAATATTAAAGGCATCTAGGTCAATTTTGAAAGTCTTACTTTTAGTCACTCTCTGGGGTTTAAAAGAATATAAATGCAAAATGTAGCCAAAGTTCAAGTTCCTTCAAAATGTCAGCGCTTTCTCCAAAGCTCAAAAAATGTTACATACATATTTATATGAAAGAATTTTAGAAAAATAATAGCATATTTTAGCAAAGAGTGGAGATAATAATTTTGTTGTTTTAATATTGTTGACTTTGGTTTCATTTTATTTTAGTGCCTTTTCTTATGCTTCTGTGTAACATTGGTAGATAAGTGGCAATGGCATAATGGAGAAATCCCATTTACTTCTTGCACTCTGTGATAATAAGGTTTCCGAGCTGATATAACACCAGTCAATACAAATCATGGCTTTCTGGGTTTTGTTTTTATTACTATATCGACCCATTGGCCCATTTTTTGAGTAATACACCATTCCCAGAAATTGTAAAAAAAAAGTATGAGACAGGTAAATTTGTGGCTTCCCTATAAATAAAGTTATTTCCACTTCATGTGAAAACAAGGCATGATGCTACTTACTAATTTCTGGAGATATAAGAACTATATAGTGTTGAAAAGGAGTGACATCCCCTCCTTCTTGGTGATCACAAGGGCAGCCCATTCTGACCTCAGCAGATGTGACTAGGGAGGTCACGTGCTTGCAGGGAGCTATGGCAAAGAGGAAGAAGTGGCAATCATATTGGGGTGATCCATTTCCTTCTCCTGTACTGATCAGCATGGAGAAAGGATGATGACGACAGTGTCCATATGGACACTGCGTGGGTTGAAACAGACCTAATCTAAGTCTCCAGACCACTGCATATCCCTTGGATATTCTGGTGTCTCTTGCAAACTCTGACATTTTACTTAGCAAAATCAGTTTAAGGGCAAAAAAAAAAATCAGGATACGTACTGAAAGGCTTAATGTGATGTGAAAACTGGCAGTGTTGGATTCAGGGTTAATATGTTTTGGGTGTTTTTGTTTGTGTTAGTTATTAATGCACTTGAGCCTTTAGTCTCTGATGAAAACATTAACATAGAAAGACAGAGAAATTGCAATGCAGTTTTCATCGGAAACACCAGGGTGGTAGTAATATTATCCCCTTCTGCAGTGGTTCTCAACCTGTGGGTCCCCAGATGTTTTGGCCTTCAACTCCCAGAAATCCTAACAGTTGGTAAACTGGCTGGGATTTCTGGGAGTTGTAGGCCAAAAAACCTGGGGACCCACAGGTTGAGAACCACTGCCCTACTGTCTACTGGGGACCTTAAAATGTAATTCAGAAAGTGGGAAATCTTCTACCCCCCTCCATTAAAATGGACTATCCTTCACTGTCTAGTGACCCCTCGTAGCCTTTGCCGGGATAATGAAACAGTACCAAGAATCATATGTGGATAATATGGACTATATAAGGGGCCCCTGGTGGTGCAAATGTGAGTAGATCAATAGGTACCATTTCTGTGAGAAGGTAATGGTGCTATATGCAGTCAGGCCGGCCACATGACCTTGGAGGCATCTATGGCTCTTCAGCTTAGAAATGGAGATGAGCACCACCCCCGAGAGCCAGACACGACTAGGCTTAATGTCAGGGGAAACCTTAACCTTTACCTTAATATGGACTATGGTCTCATGTGCTGCAAGACTGTAGCCTTCTTCAGACATTGTCAAGAAGCATTGTCACCCTATCACACTACTATATAATGTTATTTCAGCTACTATCTTCATGTGGAATTGGATTTTGTTCCAAAGAAGAATGCTTCCTTTATGTATGGATAATTCCCATGGCATTCAGAATTTAGTATCCTTAGTATCTCTAGAATCATGTAGGCTACCATGGAGAGGGGGAACAGTCCTGTTCAGACAGTTACTACCACCATCACATTTAGGATACCTCCTTTACTAATGCTTGAATAAGGCTAATATTTTGATCATATTCTATATAATGAAATATTTGAAATGTTAGCCAAGGTTATAATTTGAATATATGTATTATATTAATGGGATTCCCCTCCCCCCATGTCTTACTATAAGTATGTAATTTTTCACCAAGTTTCTTCTCAAAAGTAGTGACAAGTAGTTCCAGGAACAGTCTTCTCACTACAAGAAAATCTTTGATAATCAAAGCGTTTTCAACATTTGTTCCCATTTTGGGATTTATTCTGCACAAAATTTGCATGTGGTTTTTTTGTTTTGCAAAGAAAACAGCATTCTTTTGCACAGAAAATAACAATGCAGACATATTAGTGCATGGTAGTAATGCTGTTTTC